CAGAGTTCCTCAGCCAGCTTTGCTGGCTGAGGAACTCTGGGAGTTGAAGTCCACAAGTCTTAAAGTTGCCAAGGTTGGAGACCACTGTTTTATAGGATTGAGGTGCAATTATCCAATTCCAAATCAGTCAAAAAAAAAAGAGCTATCTTGAACTATCTGTGAAGCCTTACTTTTTAGCTCATGGCAATGTCATTAGATACTATTAGTGTGCGCAAAGACCAATGTATCTACTACACTTGTCTGCAGTTTGATTGGGCCTTTCAAATTCTCTGTTCCCTTGGATGACTCCACAGGGACAAAATTGGGGTCCCAGGCATGAAATACACTCAAGGCTTTGAATATGACTTGACAATACATGATAGACAGCGCTTGTAAGCCTATTCTGAGTTACTACCATGTTTCCCCAAAAATAAGACACGGTCCTATTTTCTTTTGACTCCCAAAATAAGCACTTGGCTTTATTTTCGGGGAGGTCTTATTATTTTTGAGGTGCAGGAGGCGGTGAGTGTGGTCACCTCATGGCTGCTGCTATCTTGCAATATTTTCAGGGAGGGCTTATTTTTGGGGGAGGGCTTATTTTAGCGCATCACTCAAAAGCCCAATTGGGCTTACTATCCAGGGAGGTCTTATTTTCAGGGAAACAGGGTATCCAAATGGACAATTATATAGAATCCTCCTGTACTCCCAGGATTAAAAACGAGCAGACTATTAGATTAAATTAGGGTAGATGAAAAAGGCTCCGCAAAAAAAATCTTCAAGGATCCAGCTTCATCCCAGTATCTAATGCCATCCATTTCGACAAGAATCCTGACACCTACATGCTTGTTTTTACCATGCTTTCCAAAAGGCTGAACCTGCAGAGTTAAGTTATGATGCAGAATTCCTGGGGGCCCAAGCAACTCTGCAATGGTGATGGGTGTACAGCTTGCCATTTACCAAGAGCCAAGTCACGTGCACGGAAAGAGCTGGCGAGGGGTTTCAGGCGATGAAAAAAAGGGGAATGAATTGTGCCTCCTCCTCCTCCCTGCTCTCCAATGGGGTGCGATGGTCAGATTAGAGACAAAAGAATAGCCTCTTATTCATGGGATACCACCATGAAAAGACACAACCACTTGCAAAACCAAACGGCTACCATGTTTCCCTCAAAATAAGAGAGGGTCTTATTTTCTTTTGATCCCCGAAATAAGCACTTGGCCTTATTTTCAGGTAGGTCTTATTATTTTTGAAATGAAGAAGGCGGCGAGCGTGGTCATCACATGGCTGCGGCTGTGTTGCAATATTTTCAGGGAGGGCTTATTTTAGCACATGCGCTCAAAAGCCCCGATTGGGCTTATTATCCGGGGAAGTCCTATTTTCAGGGAAACAGGGTATCATCAGGTAAACAGCTTTCTGTATTCAACCGATGATTATTGTTAAGCTGGATGACGGAGTGGCAAAGTCGGTCCAATACAAACAATAACATGAAAAGCTGCAGAATGGAAATCAAAGGGAGGATTTGTTGTCCAACAGACCAAGAAGGCAAAACTACGAAGTGTTCCCATCTCCAGAGAAATGGAGAAGAAAAGATTGTGGAGAGCGGGGGAGTAATTGCAAAAGAAGATGTTAACATGGAAACATGGAAGCTCAAATTAAAAAAAATAAAAATAAAACAACTATAGGGAATTATCGACATAGCCAGCAAGCAATTGGATCTGCAGGCATTGGCTAGCATGAGGTGAGGGCAGCAAAGGTGGTTGGGTGGATTACCCTGCTCTCCTCCAATTCTCTGAGAAGCTTTGCTGCCTGGGTCTTCTCAAACAGGAGGCTCTGTTCGAGCTCCCGTATTCGAGCATGCTCCAGCTGCGTCTGTGTCTGGTCACACATCAGGAAGGAAACCAAAGGAAGAAAAGAAAGCAAACAGGAGAGAACAAGGGAATAATAATAATAATAATAATCATAATGGAGATGCCTGCAAATTATCTTCTTCAGTATACAAAGTGAAGAAAGACAGTTTACACAATAGGGGTGGGGGAGAAGGACCAGATTGGTAAAGACAGGGAACAGCCATCCACCACAAGATGTAAGGGGTGAATGCAACAATTTTGCAAGAAAGACGGTTTTCAAGTAAATCCTCTTCACAACTGCAAACACGGACACAAACTCGTAAAATGCATTGGTGTATAACTCTCATGTCACAACTCCAGTTGAATTTCCCTCCCAAACAGCTCAAACAACTGCGCCAGACAGTCTCCTTATGTCAATTATTTGTCTAGAGCAGTGTTTCTCAACCTTGGCAACTTGAAGATGTCCGGACTTCAACTCCCAGAATTCCCCAGCCAGCAAATGGAATTCTGGGAGTTGAAGTCCGGACATCTTCAAGTTGCCAAGGTTGAGAAACACTGGTCTAGAGACAAGATGTTCAGCCACAATTCATGTCAAATCCATCTTAGACATCCCAAAGGTGTTTTTTTTTTTCAAAAAGGCAACAGGATGTTGATTTTTCCTTGAAGACATGGCGGTTCTGATCCAAGAAGCTTCTGGATGAGAAGCACAACATCTTCAAGGAAAAATCAACATCCTGTTGCCTTTTTGAAAAAAAAAACACCTTTGGGATGTCTAAGATGGATTTGAAATGAATTGGGGCTGAACATCTTTTTCCTAAACCAGTGTTTTTCAAC